CCCCCCCAAAAAAAAAATCAACAAGGAAACCTTAATTCATTTTAAGATAGACTTTATATGGTCTATGAAAGGAATTAAAGTAAGCGATTTCCTGTGACTGCAAAGAATTGCCCTTGATAACCCAGACAATCCTTTCCAGCTCTATTTGGCTGAGACATGACACACTTCAGGTGAGGTTATTGAACCAACTACTCACCACAACTTCCCATGGGGATTATTTCACTTCTTTACCCCAGCAACTCCTCAGTGACATCTGTATCACTCAGGAGTTTGTGGAGTGAGGCTAGTGAGGAAGCCATGAAATTCACCATAAAATCTGGCATCTAGTGAGATCCTTGACTGAGTCAGGTAAACCATTATCTTATTTGGTTCACTTTTTACTTTATTAAAGACCCAGCCCCTCACAGAGATCACTTCTCCAAGTGATTTTTCTGAGTTCTCTGATAACCCACTGACTTCCATGCAAGTTGAAGGCAATTTTTAAAGGCCATACAGGAGCAGTCCTAGTCCACAGGACACAGTTTAGTGACAAATTCATGGTTTTTTGGGATTGCCAGACATTCTAACACTCTGCGTCCAAATCCCTGTAAATTTCACCTGGTCTTTACATCTTTCTGAGCTGTACGAAATTTCTAGAATGCTTTTAAGGTTAAACCTTTCTACTAGGACAAACAAATGTCATGACTCTTTTTGTAGAAACTGCGGTTTATCCCAGTTTTCTCAGACCAAATTTGTTCTTTGTCTACAAGACTCTTTTTAATTTATTGATGGGTTGTTCAAGCCCAAATGGAAATAGATTTTTATAGAGCTGTCTATGCACAGTATTGTGAAAGTTCTTTGGAAACTAGGCACTTATTATTGTTGCTATTATTATTATTAATTATTTCTTTGGCTTTGTGAGAGAGGTTAAAAAAAAATCCTCAGAACATGTCCAGCATATTAAGCATTCATTTCTCTGCTAAGGAAATCAGGTAACTAGATAGGTGGGGTATTATGTTACGATATGCAATAGCGATATGATCTTGCCGAAACAGAGAATATATAAGAATATAAAAGAAGGCGGTGTTTACCTTTGTTATTGGTTGGGTTTTTCCTTCTAAAAGGCTGCAGAACTGAAAGCAGCTGTAAATCTCACATGGCGTTCAGGCACAGCTGCTCTGCAGACACCTTTATCTGAGGATGAAGAAGGAAATGTGATTCATCTGTGCTTCCCTAGGGCTCTGGAGAACTTCCACGTGTCTGTGGGAGATGCAGTTTACCTAGCAATGATCTCCACATGATGCTTCCATGTGGCAAGCCACCATTGCTGGGGACGAAGTTCAGCACGTGAAAGGGACTCTCTTGTCAGTGACAGGTCACTGGTGGCCAAACAGGGGCATATTTAAATTTTCATTCTTTTAAGGAAAGGAAGATGAATGAGAAACAAAACAAAATAATTTGGAGAATAAGTCTTATGAGGAGGGGCTGAGGGAGCTGGGGTTGTTCAGCCTGGAAAAAAAGGAGGCTGAGGGGAGACCTTATTGCTCTCTACAACTCCCTGAAAGGAAGGTGTAGAGTGGTGGGGGCTGGTCTCTTCTCCCAAGTCACAGGCGATAGGACTAGAGGAGATGGCCTCAGGTTGCACCAGGGGAGGTTCAGATTGGATATTAGGAAAAATTTTTACAGTGAAAGGGTTATTAAGCATTGGAATGGGCTGCCCAGGGAAGTGGTTGAGGCACCATCCCTGGAGGTATTTAAGAGATGGGTAGACATAGTGCTTAGTGAAATGGTTTAATGATGGTTTTTTTATCAGAGTTAGGTTGATGGTTGGACTAGATGATCTTGAAGGTCCCTTCCAACCTAGACAATTCTGTGATTCTGTGATTCTGTGAAGATGGTCTGGTAAAATCTACCCACAAAGGAGACAACATTTACTGCTTGGTTCTCACTGTGCAGAAGGAATCCGTGAGGCTTAGATCACACCTAGTGTTTTGAGTCCAGTGTGATTCTTGTATTCCCCAGAATTTGGAGTCCCCCAGAAGTAGGTTGGGACAAGTGTTTGAGGCCTTATTCCACACCAATGAGTGGTAAGCAGAGCTCATTACCTACTGACCAGTAGAGCAAGGAGCCAAGGGAGTCCCTTGGCTCCCTCCATGGTGAGCTGTTGCCTGGCTTTCAATCACTGTACTGCTGACATAGGGACAGTGCCCAGGCCTCCCTCTAAATAACAATTCCCTGGGTTAAGTGATCGTCTGTTTTAAAAGAAGAAAAAACATCAGTAAGATTCCAGGGATCCTGGTGTGCAGAAAAACCTAAAGACATAAGCCCTGAGGGTTCAGCAAGTAAGGTATTTTTTAAAAAGAAAAACAGCAGAAAGAAAGAAAAAAACAGCAGAAAGATTCATTTTGTGTTTGTTTGTTTGTTTGTTTTTAAAGATCTGCAATTGGCATTCCTGCACTGTTCTCCAGAAGGCCAAGATGCATTCAAGAAGCTCCCTCTTGCATGTTGTGGCTTTGTATGTGTAAGATGGAACTATAAATGAAAAATGATTTTCCCACTGTTAGCAGTCTGTATAATGCAAAATAGAGGAATGGTTTTTCCTCCTGCCTTGTGTGCAGAATCAGAGCCAGCCGTTATAATTTTTCCCTTGCATATCTAGAAAAACTCTAAAAGAAAAGTCAAACACATTATTTCAGCTGTCCACTAATGTGCATTTAATAATTATCTGACAAGGTGGGTTTTTTTCAGTGCTATTAGTTTGTTTGAACACAGTATTTTGAGAGCACCAGACATTTTTCTCTTTGTTGACTCATTAGCACCAAAATGCCATTTCTAAAAGGCCTTTTTCTAAAAGGCCTTTTACAAAAGCCCAAGAAAAACAGAATTAGTTATTTGCAGACAGTGAAAGCAGATAATTAAGAGAGAATATAGATATGTCAAAGCACATATTTGGTGGTTATGATAGATCTTAACAAAATTGGGAGTATGTCTGTAGAAGGAAGAAATTATTTTGGAGAAAAGAGAAAAAAAACCAACCTGGTAATATCAAAACCAGTTAAATTCATCTTTTCTTGAGTGTAAGAAGGAAATTTCCGGAATTTGTTTATTTGTATTTCTTATGAAAATTTCCTCAAAGTTTTTTTTATCCTTTCATTTAAAAAATAATTAAAAATAATCTTGAAAGCAATCAGCTTTTAAACGAAAAACCAAGCAAACAAACAAACAAACAAACAAGATAGAGAAGATAATTCCAGACTTTAGGATCTCATCTTCAGATAAGGGCTATAAAATAAGCTGTTATTTGCAGAGCAAACGTTATGTTGCATATCGAAGTGACCTCCTCCATTTCTTACTTCTGTGTGTTTATACATTGCAGAATACAAGGTAAACCAGAATATAACAATAAATACCATTTATCAAAATAAAGTAATTTGACTGTTTCTTTTTCCATTCTTGTGTGGTTAATGATAGGCTTGGAAGAGACAATTTTTTGTTTTTAAAGATATTTAATTTTCAATGAATCTTGACAATGCATTATACTGTACAGACTGTGCAGTATAATTTACAGACTGTAAAAGTCTGTTCAGTCCTTGGAGCTTTGGATAACTCTGTATAGTTATGATGGCATATATGAGTGAATTTTAATTAAATTACTAATGGCACTCTCTGACATGAAATAAAACAAAACAGAACCTTTAAACTAAAATTTTAACCTGCAAGTATGATCACATTCAGCCCTCAGAAGGCAAAGAAAATAAGCACCTCTTCAGCCCTAAACAAAACATAAGAACACTCTAACACTTTGACTTTTTGGAGGGGAGAAAAAAGATTTTTCTACTACAATGTAGCTGTGTAAACATATCAGAAAGTAGGATTTCTACAAGGCAGCTTGCCTTTAACACTGAATAATTGATCTACCTGTCAAACTACAGCAGTAGATGTGATCTGTATGCCAAACTATTGGGAAATGCATGTCTAATTTTACACCTGTCCTATACCAGGTGAAATATGGCAGGTACAGTACATATGACCTAAAAGAACATTCACATAGACCCATAATTGCATAGTATGCAAGTGGTCATGAAACTATTACTAGTTGTGAAACTCTTCTGCTGGCATTTGGTCATTTTAAACAGAAGTATGGTACCAAATGGCCATTTTATCTCTTGCACTCCTAAAGTTTATATAAGACTGTTCTACAGCCTGATGGAGAAAAAAGCTATGATCAGACACTCTGCAACAGAAACTAAGCCAATAGCATTCAACTCTTTTGCAGTATTAATTTTCTAATCAAAAAGTAGTCTTCTATAGAAATTTATCATATCTATCACAATTACATCAAAACTTACGTCTCTGAAATTGCTTTCTTAGTTGCTTTTCTTGGTCTTCATAGGAGTCTATGAACCCTGTACATCATAGTCTAAAAACTTCTCTTCTGTTAAATTAATTTAAAAATATTCTTCTTTTTGTTTGGACTTGTTAACCAGATCATGGAATTTAGTTGAGAAACAGAAACAAGTAAAATGAATGAATGAATTCCTTCACTCAGTTCTGTAGAAATATTTAGTTATTAAGGTCCATTTGTTTTGAAATTAATAGAAATTTTTAATTTCGAGAAAAAGCCTCAAAGATTCACCTGTATTTTCTGCTCTTGGACTATTTGTATGAAATAACTCCCATACTAAAATATTGATGTCCAGATGTGAAGTCTATTTGCAAAGATTATCTCTGTTCCTAGCAGAAATGGTGATTTGTTATGTTAGCAGTGCACGTCAGAAAATAGACATACATTAATATTTTAGAGACCAGCCTGCTCCAGAACATAACCCTATTCCTCTCATTCCAACTAGAAAACAATGTTGGCTTGTAAACTGTGATTTTATTGTTTTTTTTCTTCCAGGAGAAAAAAAAAAAACAACATTCTAAGAGAGGCTTTTTTTCTTCCTTAACTTTGCTGAAAGTAATGGACTTCTTTCCTAGCCTGCACTGGTCAGAAAAAGAGAATTTGAGACTTAAGATAGTTGTCATTAAGGGGACATCATCTAAGTAACACTGTAATTCCCACAAGAGGTATAATTCTTAACTGCTTAAGTTATTGTTGCAAATGGTGATGTAAAATCCTGAGTCCATTAAGGTAAACACGTATTTTTCCACCAGCTTTGCACACAGATCACTTTTACTGTAGCACTGTGTAAGGCTGATGAACTATTAAATGTCAGAATTATGCTGTAATATAGATATTTTGCTTCCTAACTTGTTTTCCACAATTATATTGGAGCAGAAATGCTGTATTTCTTTTCCTAGAAGTTAGGCACTTGACTATGAGAGTTTTAATCTAAATCTTTGAGTAAAAATGCCTTGATTCTTGAATACTTGAGTCATTAGAAACAGGCATTTCAAAGTTTGCTTCAACACTGTATTTGTTGTTAGTGTGTCATGGTAAATTTTGCATATAACAATTATTCCCTGAGGTCAGATGTACAAATCGGATGATCACTGAAGATGGATTGAACCCAAGCTTTAATGTTAACCAACTGTCAAGTCCTCCAAATTGTGTCATTATAAGATCTTTTCACTCCTTTAGTTTATTGTAATGAACAACATTTGGAATCACAGAAACGATGTTGGATTAAAGTATAAAAAGGGACCTGATGTCCCCCTTTTAAACAAAACACAACATGAGCAAAATTCACACACTGTATTCTTGTAATATTTTACAGTCTTAAACATTTTACTACTGAAAGAATTAAGGAAATCAGCAAAGGAAAAAAGTTATTTGGGCTGAAATACATATAATATGCTACATAGACTGTGGCTAGGTGTAGATTCAGGCATAAATACTGACCAGACAAGGTCCTAGTATTGTTGGATGCTGGTTTGGAAATTAACAGCTGTTGCTACCCCATAACGTGTTTGCATTTTAGAAGGCATACATGTGTGTGATGATCAGCTTGAAAACAGAAACAGGATTTCAGCTCCAGACACGTGATAATACTTGTTCCTTCTAATTTGTTCTGTCATTTCCCTCCTCCTTCCTTTCTTTTTAGATGTATAATCATATCTTCGTATTTCTTTAATTTTGCTTGAGGGCATATAGAGGTTTAGGGAAGCATTGGCTGCATCAAACCACCAGGAAACTACACTATAGTTTCTTTTCCCCCATCACTGTGGTGC